TCTCTCTCTCTCTCTCTCTCTCTCTCTCTCTCTCTCTCTCTCTCTCTCCACTTGACCCTCACTTTCCCTCACTTTACATCTCTATTCTTTTCCCTTTTCGACCATCACGACTACTACTGCACACTACTACTACTACTGCACTTTGCCTACCCTTTTTCTTCACCTCACCCATCACTCTCTTTGCCCACCACCACCACCATAACCGCAGTATTTACGATCATTCCCCTGTCAGCTACAATGGATGAGGAACAGTGGATGAGGAGAGAATTGGAAAGACAAGTAAATCATCATTTGCAAAGGCAGCAGCGGCAGCGGCAGCAGCATTAGCAGCAACAGTAATGATCGGCGGCACACAGGCACACAGAGGAACAGAGACAGGCACAAAGGAGCACACTAAAATAGACTTCAAATGTGAGCTCTAATCAGTTCAACTGTGACCAATTCGAATCTTGGCCATCGGCAGCAGCACTTGGCAGCAGTAGTGGTCGGCAGTGGCAGTGGCAGTGGCAGTGGCAGTGGCAGTGGTAGTAATAGTGACCATAGTGGGGAAAGACAGGGTCATAAAGTGTGCACACAACTTTCCTGTCGTGTTAGCCGCCGCTGCAGCTGCTTATGTCCACAACAGTGTTTTTGACTGCTGCAGCTGAATTTTGCGTACTTTTTTTGTTTTAAGTTCTCAGATTAAGATTAGGGTAATTAAGCTGCCTTTCAGAGTCACTGCTTGTTTTACTGCTTGTTATGAGAAAAAGAGTTGTCATTTGTTTTCTTACAATGATACCCCCTTTAATACAGTTGCTTAGAACGATGCGTTTGATTTTAAATTGGGTGCACAATGCACAGAGAACTAATTGAGTGAGGCAGATGATTACATGATAGCCCTTTCTACGACATTGACTGATCTCATCATTGAAAAGCACAGACAACTAACTAACCAATGTAAGACGATGCGGCCAAGTCTATAGACTACAGCTCAACAGATGCTAGCCACTGTTGAGCACACACACACACACACACACACACATTTCTTACACTGCACAAGTGTAGGCACAGGAGTGTGTGCACTGCAACAATGTGCAACAATGTTGCAGTGCCACCTCAGGTCATCAGTGCTGTGCACTGTGCATTCACTATAAAAGACCACAAGCTACAGGCAAAAAAGCAAAGGAGGAGATCAGCTAAACTGCAGACAGGCCCACCACCACCACCACCACCACGGCCAGATAAGGACAAGACAATTTTTGTGTCACAAGTGAGAAGGTGAATAAGAGAAAATGTAGGCAGGCAGGTAAGCAATGGCAAGTAGGCAGGTAGGCAGCAGCAGTTGCTGTGCACTAAATGAACTAGAAATGAACTGCAAAAGAGGCGAGAACTACCTGACAAGGGGTGACAAAAGCAACAAGTGCAACAGTGGTAAGCATTAATTGGCTTTTAGGGGTTCATTTATTATTATTGTGCGCTCAATTGAAGATCGTATACAGAAGATATTGGTAATGGTGCAAGTGATTGGTTATGATGTGTGTGTGTGTGTGTGTATGCAGAGGTAGTGATTGGGTGCATTGAAGAAGAGTAGCAGGCAATTGACTGAGCAGAGAGAAAGAGAGAGAAAGTGAAGACGATTGCCCGTCTCTTAGAGACTCAATAGAGTAGCTCAAGCTTGAATGGCGGAGAATGATAGCTCAATGCAGTGGTAGTAGTGTGCAGTGTGCAGTACTGGCAAAGATGAAAGTTCAAGTCAGTGCCTGTCTGTCTCTTTCTGTCTGAATGCCAAAGTGTAATGAAGAGAATTACGTGGTAAATGTGAATAGATCTGTGTCTGTGTCTGTGTCGGTGTGCACTCTGCTTCAGTGGAGTAAATGGCGCATAAATGGCAAATGTCTGATGTCTGTTGAGTGTAGAGGCAATGCTAGTGGTGCTTATGGTGGCATGTTGGGCATTGGAATGTGCTCGACACACTCATTCCCGTTCCCATTTCCATTTCCATTCCCCGTCAAGTCATGCTCATATAGCATAGATCATACATCAGGTGTGAAAGGTGTAAAGAAAATGGTAAAAGATAAAAGTAAATATGGCGCAATTGTAGTAGATAGAGTGATCAAGTGTGAACCCGTTGAGAATGAAGAGCTCAACCTGTGACGCTCCCATTTGCTGAATGGTGGCTGTGGAAGTCATCTGGATGTGGGGGAAGCTGAAGAGATGATGGTAAAGAAGAGGAGTTGGCTACTGGGCGCAAGTTTAATTGCTGCTGTTGTTGCGATATCGCCGCGCCTGATCTTGAATCCAGTCAGCCACTCGCTGGCAATCAATCTCCAACTGATTTTGAACGGAATTGCCTTGCTGCTGCTGCTGATTACCACCGTTTACTGCTGGCAATGGAATGAGGACACCTGAGGGGCCGTAAAACACCGGCACCACCTGTGGGCTAGCTCGGGGTAGACCGGAAATAATTTCAGGAGCAGGAGCAGGAGCAGGAGCGACATTCCAGTAAGGACTGCCCTGCAGCGCCCTTACAGCTGACTCTGGTAGAGCTGAAGTGGACAGCTGAAGTTGCGGCAGCGAGTAGAGAGTGGAGCGACCGGTCAGGTGGTTGAAGTACACGACGGCGTTCATTTCATTGACCAGTGGCTGGTGATGATTGCCTGCAGCATTTAGAAGTGCTGGTGCTGGGGATTGCTGGGGCAAATTGGGCTGATAATGATGAGCGGCGGCGGCGGCGGCGGCAGTTGTTGTTGTTGTTGGAGTATAGTCCTTCAGGGTGACAGAGGTGATGCTGGGGACGGCGGAGGCGTCAATTAAANTGGCCGGAACTGCAGCAGCTGCAGCTGCAACTGCTGCTGCTGCAACTTCTGCTGAAGCTCCAGCTACCTGTGCTGGAGCTGCATCGGATGGAACCATTACGGCTACCGTTGAGGGAACTATCTTCGCGTAGACGGGCGCCACCTTCTCTCGAGCCATCTTCGCTAGAATGGCGAATGTCGAGACGGAGGTAAGTGGCTGATGCNATAGTCCTTCAGGGTGACAGAGGTGATGCTGGGGACGGCGGAGGCGTCAATTAAAATGGGAGGAGGCTTGGCGCGGATGCTGGCCGGAACTGCAGCAGCTGCTGCTGCAACTTCTGCTGAAGCTCCAGCCACCTGTGCTGGAGCTGCATCGGATGGAACTATTACGGCCACCGTTGAGGGAACTATCTTCGCGTAGACTGGCGCCACCTTCTCTCGAGCCATCTTCGCTAGAATGGCGAATGTCGAGACGGAGGTAAGTGGCTGATGTTGCAGCTCCAGCTGCAGCCCTCCCTCCAGCTGCTGTGGCTGAAAGTCGCCTAGAAAGCGCCAAACAAGCTCCGGTTCAAGCTCAACTCGGCGGCTCTGCTGAGCTGTTTGAGGATGCCGTCGTCGCTGTGGCTGCTGCTGTTGCTGCTGCTGCTGCTGTTGTTGTGGCAATCTGCGATTTGCTTCAGCAGGTACTTCAGCCACGGGAGCCACGGGAGCCACAGGAGCCACTTGCTGCATTGCTGCTGTAGAGCATCTCTTCTGCTGAGCAGACTGCTGTGACAGAGTTCGGCGACAAGACAGATGATTACAGCCACCAGCGTCGCAATTGGTGACCTCATTTGTCTTCTTCTTCTTCTTCTTATCTGCATCAACAGCAGCAGAAGAAGAAGAAGAAGGAATGCACTCAGCAGCAGGAGTCGTAGCATTAGACTCGTCGTTTGTCACATTGGTCAGTTGGCGCTTTCTGCTGCCGTTTGCGCTGGTGGAGAGAGTGGTGACAGTGTTGCTGCTGCCATCTTGAACAGCAGCACTGTTCACCGCTGTTGAAGGTGATGTCGAAGTGACAGTGCTCGTGGTGGTGATGCTTCGAGTACTAGCAAGTGAAGTTACCTCAGTTGATGATGCTGCTGCTGTTGCTGGTGCTGGTGGTGTTGGTGCCGGCAGGTCAGTGCCTGCCTTTTCTGCCATTAGCTTGGCAGCTCTTTTCTCCTTTCGATGTGGCATTTTGCCGTTTGAAGTAGTTGCAGTGATTAGCAGGAAGATGATAGTGAGAGCTGAAGTGGAGCTTGATCCAAGGCATCCAAGGAGCAGTGATCAAGCTTTTGCTGGTGGAGGTGCAGTGGTGGTGGAGACAGTGGTGGAGGCACACAAACTTTGATTCAGGTGGTCCTGGTGGTGGTGGTGGTGGTGGTGGAGGTGTTGTTGACCGTTCCTTGTGCTTTCCTCGCTGACGATCACTGAGGAGCACTGCTTGATCCAACTGTTTGAGGCTGAAGATGTGGATGATGAACAGGATAACTGAGAGTGTGTCCAGAAATTAGCTTCTGCTGATGCTGCTGCTGCTGCTGATGATGATGATGATTTTGTCTCTGCTTTGGTCGATGCTCTGCCTGCTCTGCTCTGCTCTGCTCTGCTCTCTGCTGCAAACCAGTGACTGTCTGGCACTTTGAGCGCATCCACTGTGGCAGCCTGTGGCATTTGGGGTGGTATTCGTGGTGGTTATCGTGGTGGTGGTGGTGGTGGTGGCGATGAACCTAGTAATGGCAAAAGCGGTGGGGAGATGCACTGGTATTTGTTTGAGGAGGAGCTTCCCGGTGGGGCCTCTGTCTTCAGTGCTGCTAGTGGTTGGGTGGTTGGGTGGTGGTGGTGGTGATGATGTTGCACTGAATTCAGCAATATCAGTGCTGTATCATTTGCAATGCCAAGGCTTCTAATTAACTAACTGGCCGGCCGGTTGACTTGTGACTGTCACCTCTCTCTCTCTCTCTCTCTCTCTCTCTCTCTCTCTCTC